ATCCATCCATCCCTCTTTCTGTCTCTGTCTCTCTCTTATCCATCCATCCCTCTAATCCATCTATCCATCTCTGCCTGCCGTCTTTCTGTTTGTTATCTATCTCTCTATCGCTAATCTCTTTCTATCGCTGTCTTTGTATGTGTCTGGCATCTCTTCTCTCTCCCATCCATCCATCCATTCATCCATCCATCCCTAATCTGTTTCTCACTCTCTCTGTCTTTCTGTCTGCCTGCCTACCATCTCTCTCTCCTTCATCTCATCTCATCCCTCATAATCTGTATCTTCTTGTCTATTTCTCATCTCTCTCTCTCTCTCTCTCTCCCTCTCTTTCTCAGAAAAAGAAGAGGAGGAATAGTCTAACATGATTGTTGCTCTAAGATTAAATGGCCCATCAACTTATTGGGTGTTGATTGTTGGGGGGGGGGGAAGCATTGTCTATTTGTTCCCTTCTTAATTTTTTGATCGACCCTTTTCAATGGTGGGTAAACATTTAACTCTCCACGTCTGCTGATGGCCGATTCATCCGAGTTGAGCTATGTGCCCCATGCATCCACCTGCTACTTGTGCAAGTTGAACTGCATGCCCGACACTTGGGTGGCCCGGTTTTCAATATATCACATCCCAGTAGTGGATCGCGGCCCAAAGGTTGGGGACCCCAGTTAGTGGATGATATCTGCTTTTTGAGAGTATCTTTTGTTTTGAGTTGGGATGTTTTGGAGGCCATGAATCATTGAGTTTGTGTACTACACTGATGCCTCAGGGGTTTAATCGTCTGCTGGTGGTTACTCCGGCACCCTTCTACCCAACCCCAAGAACCATCGTCAGACTTCCGTGCCACGTACCAAAGAAACTGGAGAAAAACTTGGGCAGCAGAACAGTCTGGAAATGGACAGCTTCCGCTTGCTGTAAGACACACAACGACCAGACCAGGTCGACCAGCAGGGGAGGGTTTAGGCTGCCCAGCTGACCATCCAGGATGTGGTGGCTCTGGAAGAGAAGATGGGAGAAGGATGGAAGGAGAGAATTAATTGAGCGAAGTTATGCCTCCTGTCCGAACAACGGCTGGACAGGTGGGAGAATTCCTGCCCCAAGCAAGGACTGGACTAGAAGACCTCTGAGGTCCCCTCCGGCTCTAGGATTCCCTCAGATCTCCAAAGTCCCCCCCCCATTTTTTCCCCCAATTCTAAGTCAAAACAGTCACAAGAGAAATCGTCCTTGACTAATGACCAACTGCGTCCAAGTTACAATAATGTTGGGGTGTGTGTGTGTGTGTGAAGACAAGTGATGATGGGTCCCCGCACTTATGACCATGCCAACATGCTGGCAATGACCCAATCACGATTCAGGTTGTTCCAGATGGACACTAAACCAATTAATTGTAAGTGGAGGATTACCAGTGATAAGTTTGCACTCATTCAGACATTAATTTAATTCTCTTTCTTTTGCTATAGGCTTTGTCCTTTTGCCTCCTGCATCAAGAATTATTTCTCCAGATTTATTGCTTGATTGATTAGGTTTTTAATCTTGCCTTTATTATTTGATAAGTAACTGGGGGGGGAGATACTTAATACTCCCCCTCCCTTCCATTTTCCCAACCACAACAACCCTGTGAGGTAGCTTGGATTGAGTGAGAGAGGGGCTGGCCCAAAGTCACCCAGCTGGCTTTCATGCCTAAGGTGGGACTAAAACTCCCCACCGCCTGGTGATTGGCCCAAACTCAGCCAGTTAGTTTCCATGGCTAGGGCAGGACTAGAACTCACGGTTGCCTGGTTTCCATGCTAGCACCCTCACCACTAGACCAAGTTGGCGCTTTCTCTTCTGTTGCGTTCTATTCAAGACAAGGCTAAACAATATGAGACTATACAATAAAATTCAATACTATACAATATTGTCCAATACTATACCACACTATGTTACACTACAGTATACTATAAAATACTACACAATACAATACATACTATACTATACTGTACAATACTACACAATACTACACTACACTACACAATGCTACATACACTACACAATACCATACTATACTACAGTATACTATGCTATGCTATACAATATTATACTATGCTATTCAATACTGTACTATACAATGCTACAGTACACTACACAATATAATATTATACTATGCTATATAATATACTATGCTATACAATATTATACTATGCTATACAATATTATACTATGCTATATAATATTATACTATGCTATACAATATTATACTATGCTATATAATATTATACTATGCTATACAATATTATACTATGCTATACAATATTATACTATGCTATACAATATTATACTATGCTATACAATATTATACTATGNATCTTGTCCCCACACCCACAATCCATCACATGGTCCAATCTTCTTCCTCCACGCTGGCATCCATGCCCAGCTTCTTCCGGTCAGGTGTGAAAGTGTGGAGACAAAGGATGACCTTGGCTTGTAGCAAAGAATGAAAACAATACATTCCACAATTCTACTCCTTCTAATCCAGCCTCCCATTGACTATACTTAAAGAAACAGCATAATGGGTTTTCACATTACAGAGGACAGTTGGAAATGTAGAAGGCACAACTTTCAGGCTCAAGTTTGACTCTTAGAATAATTAATTTTAATAACTAACTTTGGCTGCTCAGGATGGAGATAATGATTCCAAACTTCTGCTTTTTATAAGGAAGGGTAATATATAAATGCGCACATACTATCTGATCTCATCTAAAATGGCCGCTTCCCACGACAAAGGAAGTGATTTAAAGTGCTAAATTTTCTGCCCATTCCTTAGTGGGATGTTATTTATCCAAACTCAGTTATCTCATCAGGTTTGCTTTATAATTAGGTTTGGGATTTGAAGATGTAGTTCTCAAGGCTGCCATTAAAAAATACAGCTGGAAGTAGAATAGGCAGCTCAAACTCTCTTTTTGCCTCTCACCGAGGACTGCATGAAAGCCAAAAAAATAAAAATAATCAGCTTTCATTATTAGTATTTAGTTTTACACATTTGAAGTTTTATTTAGCCACCACAAGGCAGGGAAAAATACATTGCTAAAAGCTATGCTGGCAAGAGCTCAACAGCAGAACATGCTTACATAAAAGGTTTTCCATGAACTTGGAGCAGTGAAATCTATTTTGCTTTCCTGCTTTTAATTTTGTCTGCCTGTGTTATGTTTAAAATGGGAAAATTAGACTTAAAAACTGTTGCCATTGTGCACTCAAGTAGAGCCATCAAAGTTTCTGTGTGCAGTTCAAACCTAAATCAGGAGGTGAATTTCTCTGTTGTTTGCAGCAATGCCCAAGGAAGGAGATTAAAAACAGGCAAGATAGTTATTGCAGTAGCATGGAAACCTTTCCCCTTTGTATGTGTGTTAATGGTCACACATATGTGAAGGGGAAGGGCTTTGAATTGTACAGCCATAATCAATATCTTTGCTTTTTTGACCGATCCTGTGGTTTTCGCTGCATGTTGGCATATAGAACTAAATTTTAATAGACCCATTAGAGTATTTCCCAATGTGATCAGCTCTGGGCTTGTTGGACTACAATTCCATAATGCTTAATCATCATGAACATTGGCTATGCTCAAAAGAGTTTCCTTGATGAGGCTGCATCTGCCTTCTTGTTTTGCCTCTGCATCTGCCTTGCATGTTTTGACTTTTCTGTGGATGCTGCTATTCATTACAGATTTTAGGAGATTCTGTTCAATAGATCTGTACAGTGGAATGGGACAACTCGCTATGGCCAACTCACCATCACCAATTTGCCATGGCTAACTCACCACAGTCAACTCACTATGGCCAACTTGCCATGGAACAATTCAACTATTCAATTTAACTATTTAAAGTAATTTCAAAATTATTGCCATTATTGTCATTCACATTTCATTTTGTCCCCCCTGGGGCATCCTTTCTTTAATAACTCTATTCCACCATTTGTTCAATATTAGCGTAACTCTTGTTCTGCCGCAAATTGTCCTGCAAAGAGTTGGCCATGGTGAGTTGTGTTGCCAGGGGCAGGTTCTTTCCAGTTCTAACATCTTCTATAGAAGAGGTTCCACAAATCTTCAGTGCTGTTTAGAACCGGTTCCAGCTCCCTCCCCCCACCCGTCTGCACATCATCAAGATGAAGAGTGAGAGGAGGAATTATGGGAATTGAAATCCACAAGTCTTAAAGCTGTCAAGTTTGAACCCCCTGGGGTTTTTTTCTAAGAGGTTAGGGGTGCAAGGGTCTTGTAACTTGACAGCTTTAAGACTTGCGTGCTTCAAATGCCAGAGTTTCTGAGCCAACATTTTGGTTCCTAAGCAAGAGCATTGTTAAGTGAGTTTCACATTTTACAAGTTGGCCATGCCCACTCAGTCACATGCCAGCAAGCCACTCCCACAGAAGAGGNTGATGCTCCAGCTGCTCAGCGGAGCGTCGCGCAGGCGCTGTACATGCCATGCATGTGCGCGGAAGCGCAGAAGCCTTAAAAGACAGGTAAGGAGCTCGGGCAGGCGAATGGGCCCTCCGGAGCACCGTACCGGAATGGTATCCAGTGCTCCGGACAGGCTCCAGTACGCCTGTACCGGGGCGTACCGCCTGCAACCCACCACTGGTACCTAGGCACAGTAACATCTATACTTAGTTTTCTTTTCATCTTTGCCCTTCATTTTTTAAGTGTAGGTTTGAATATATGGGTTTATAATTTCATTTTTAAAATATAAAACTGGTGACATTGTACAATTTTTTTTTCTTTTCTCTGAGCCCACACAAAGTCTACTAAAATACCAGTGATGGTCAACTTCTGCTACTCAAGCGTATTACACCTGTATGTATATAGTTTTGTCAATGTAAAAGATGCTACTTAATCCTCTTTATTCTTGATGATTGCATTTTTCATCATGTTCCAATCCAGTTAAGTTTGTTTCATTCACCACAAGCCTTTTCCAGGCTCATCTATTGCCTCTGCCATTTCATTACTTACATCACAGAAATATGTATGAAAGCCATTTTTGTTCCCCTTGCGGGATGTAATTAATTCCAAAAAGTCCTCTTATTTTTTTTCAAAAACAAAATTAAAAAGTCAACATAATTACTATGCTGATTCTAGCTGGCTGCATTTGATGTGGGATCTGTTTAAATGCATAAGCTGATAGAAAATCAAGCTTGATGTTTCATCACTATATAGTGAGCTATATTACGTATAATATATAGTGCAATACACACACACACACACACAAGCAAACATATGGTCACCTGACAGAATAACTGTAATCTCCTTATCCAGACACACCAGAATAACACAATTAGGTAAGAAATGGCTAGAAAACAGGTTTTCTAAAATGACATTTGAAGTTGAGAAGATCTTGTAGCATTGGGGTGGAGGTGGGGAGTGAATCCATGTCACTGGGGACTGAAATAGAACTTATAGCCTATTGACATCATCTGAAAAGGGGGTTAATTATGCACTGCCATGCTGATTTGTATAATACACTATAATTGAGACCGAGAATAGTGTTTGTATTAAGAAAGAGAACTGGCCTTAATTAGAAAGAAGTCTATATGAGCTGAAGGAACACGTTGCTTCAGTTTAATGAATGAGGCCCTGTGGTTGAGCTCCTGTGTGGAATATAGAGGGTTCTTCTAACCCTCTTCTCTACAAATGCCATATATATATTCACTCCTTTTGGCAATCTAGTAAGAATACTGTCTCTCAAAGCGTAGGTGTTCTCTGAATGTGCATTTATTTTGGGAGAAATTGATACAAACAAACAAGCATGGAGTGATATGTGGGCACAACCTGCAATTTGCAAGCCACATACTGAGAAGCAGTTGTATTAATCCCATTCTAGCTGTGGCTATAATGTGTGTTGTGTGTACTACATCGCTAGGAAGGGCTTGGCAGAAGCCCTTTCATTTTAAGTAGTATTTGCAGGCTACATTTAAGAGTTGCATTTTTCCCCTTCAGAAATGCTCACAGTAGTAAGCAGAGAGAACCAGTAAATAAAACCATAAAAAGGGCATATTTTTAGCATACACAAGAC